CACGAAAGAAACAGCGCGAGGCGCCGGAGTCCAACGTGAAGGTGTGCAGGGCCTTAGCAGGCGCAGTACGAGGGGGAGTACCAGACGCACTAGCACCTAGAGCAGCAGCGGCTATACCTGGGTCAGGCGGCACACACCAGTAACTGTCACCCTCAGCACTAAAAGACAAAGCATACATGGCAGAGATAATAACATCAAAGTCTAGGTCAAAGATAGCAACTCCCGACCTAAGCAACTCCGCCCAGCGAGGGCGCTCTACGTCATCACCAAACTCAGTACGCCATGCGTCGTCAAGGCGGGCAAAGCAGCGGCGCTCAGTGTAAAACCTCCCGCATGTTTGGCCCGCGCGGGCACCCGTGCGAATGACATATGGGCAGGTCTCACTACGCTCACCCGCCCCACGCTGAACCAACCACTCACGGAGCTGCTGGGGCGTCTGGGTCTCGCTCCGACGCTGCTGCTGCTGGCCCCGACCACCACCAGGGCCTCCACGCTGAGGTCCAGACCGACCACCACTGGTCCCACCGCCTCCACTGCCGCCACTCCCTCCGCTGCCTCCACCGCCGCCACCAGAGCCTCCACCGCCGCCACCAGAGCGTCCATCGCCGCCACCGGTCCCACCGCCGCCACCACCTCCACCACCTCCGCCTCCTCTACCGCTGCCCCCACTACCACTCCCACTGCCATCTCCACCACCACCGCTGCCCCCTCCACTACTCCGGCCACCCTTGCCCTTGCTGTTGCGGCGCTTCGTACTAGTCGAAGCAGCACCGACGTCCTCAGGAACAGAGACGTCTGCAGCACCAGCAGAGGCGAAGGAGGAGGAAAGGGGGGAGGGGGAGCACCCCTCAAAAAGGGTGAGCGCGGATTGCCACGAGCAGCACCTACAGCAACTGCACTAGTCTCAGCTGCGAGGAGATGCTGCTCGAGGAGGTCAACAGTGAGGGAGGTGGGGTCGAGGGTGAAGAAGTGGTCCCTGACAGAGCGAAGGGAGTCAGGGAGGCGAGTGACTATGAAGTAGAGGGTGATGAACATGGGGGGCTGGTTCGTGGGAAGGAACTCAGCAGGGACGGCAGCGCGGTAGCGAGCGTCGCTAGTGCGCAGGTGGGTAACCAGGTCGGCTACTGTGGCAAAAGCCGACAGCTCAGGGAACAGGTAGGGCAGTAGCAGCCTGCCAATAGCAGTAGTGGCAGGGGAGGAGTAGCGAGCAACGACAGCGTCGTACAAGACCTGTGCTGTCCTGTGCTCGCCAAAGTGAGCACATTCGGTTGCGGGCAGGTGGTTGCGAATGGCCAAGCGGGCAGTAGCGTCACGAGACAGCCACTGGGAACGAGTCGAAACGTCAGCTGTGGCGGGAGGAGCTGGAGCGGCACCGGACACGTGGTCAAACAGTGAGACACTGTCCTTACTATCGCTCAGTAGGTACAGTTGTAGATCGTCGTGCCACGTGTCAAATGTTACAGGTCTGCCCTCCGGGTCGAACGGGAGAACTCTAAGCGACGCCATAGTGACATAGGACTCAGGAGCAGCAGTAGCAGTGGCCAAGGGGCGGAGCGGAGGGGCCTAGGGGGCCGAGGGGCCAAACAAGAGGGCCGAGGGGCCGAGGAGCCTAGGGGGGGGGGCCCGAGAGGCCTAGGGGGGCCGAGGGGCCAAACCTGAGGGCCGAGTGGTGGGGCCGAGGGGCCAAACAAGGGGCCGGGGGGCCTAGGGGGGCCGAGGGGCCTAGGGGGCCGAGGGGCCTAGGGGGCCGAGGGGCCAAACAAGGGGCCGGGGGGCCGGGGGGGGCCTAGGGGGCGAGGGGCCAAACACACGGGGCCGAGTGGCGGGGCCGAGGGGCCAAACAAGGGGCCGGGCGCAGGGCTCTGAGTTGGGGCCGAGGGGCCTAGGGGCCGCGGGGCCAAACAAGGGGCCGGGGGGCCTAGGGGGGCCGAGGGGCCAAACACACGGGGCCGAGGGGCGGGGCCGAGGGGCCAAACAAGGGGCCGAGCGCAGGGCTCTGAGTTGGGGCCGAGGGGCCTAGGGGCCGCGGGGCCAAACAAGGGGCCGGGGGGGCCTAAGGGGAGCCGAGGGGCCTAACAAGGGGCCGGGCGCAGGGCTCTGAGTTGGGGCCGAGGGGCCTAGGGGCCGCGGGGCCTAACAAGGGGCCGGGGGGGGCCTAGGGGGGCCGAGGGGCCAAACACACGGGGCCGAGGGGCGGGGCCGAGGGGCCAAACAAGGGGCCGGGCGCAGGGCTCTGAGTTGGGGCCGAGGGGCCTAGGGGCCGCGGGGCCAAACAAGGGGCCGGAGGGGCCTAAGGGGTGCCGAGGGGCCAAACACACGGGGCCGAGGGGCGGGGCCGAGGGGCCAAACAAGGGGCCGGGCGCAGGGCTCTGAGGTGGGGCCGAGGGGCCTAGGGGCCGCGGGGCCAAACAAGGGGCCGGGGGGCCTAGGGGGGGGGGCCGAGGGGCCAAACACACGAGGCCGAGGGGCGGGGCCGAGGGGCCAAACAAGGGGGGGGGGCGGGCGCAGGGCTAGGTACGGCGCCGGGCGCGGGCTAGGTACGGGACCGGGCGCTGGGCAGGTACGGGGCCAGGCGCTGGGCTCTGTATTGGGGCCGAGGGGCCTAGGGGCCGAGGGGCCAAACAAGGGGCCGGGGGGCCTAGGGGGGGCCAAGGGGCCAAACACACGAGGCCGAGGGGCCAAACAAGGGGCCGGGCGTGGGTGTTGACGGGCCGGGGCTAGGTACGGGGCCGGGCGCTGGGCGAGGGACTGGGCCGGGCGCGGAGCTAGGTACGGGGCCGGGCGCGGAGCTAGGTACGGGGCCGGGCGCTGGGCTAGGAACGGGGCCTAGCGTGGGCTGGGTACGGGGCCGGGCGCGGGTGTCGACGGGGTGCTGGCTAGGTACGGGGCCGGGCACGGGTGTCGACAGGGCGCGGGCTAGGTAAGGGGCCGGGTCGTGGGCTAGGTACGGGCTGGTCGCGAGCGTCGACGGGGCGCGGGCTAGGTACGGGGCCGGGCGCGGGTGTCGACGGGGCGATTGCGAGCCAGGTACGGGGCCGGGTCGCGGGCTAGGTACAGGCCGGTCGCGGGCGTCGACGGGGCGCGGGCTAGGTACGGGGCCGGGCGCGGGTGTCGACGGGGCGATCGCGGGCTAGGGGCACGGGCGTGAGACAGGGCCCAGCGCGGGCTAGGTACGGGCCTATCGCGGGCTAGGTACGGGCCAGGCGCGGGCAGGAGACTGGGCCGGGCGCAGGCTAGGTACGGGCCTATCGCGGGCGCGGTACGGGCGGGGCGCGGGGCTAGGAACGAAATAGCAGGTGGTGGGCCCAATAGTAACCTACTCTAGTACCATATTAAAGAGTAGCGAGAATGACGAGAAAAATGTGTGATTAGGAAAGAGGGGGGGGGGTACAAGTAGAATGTCGAGAAGAATTGTGTACCCCCTAAAGCTAGCCCCCATACAGCCTAGATGCAACTAAGCCTAGATACAACTAAGCATATATGTTTGACACATCAATGAAAGGACCATTAGAGGAAGCCTGTCGGGTTGAATCCATGATCACTTCCCTTCGCCGCTGCTCTCTCCAACCCCCCACCACCGCCTTCAACCCCCCCCGCAGTGGGGGGCGCACCCCTCTATTCTCCCCACTCCCTCCCTGCTCGCAGCCAAGCATCTGAGCTGGTGTGAGTGAGTTCGAGACCGTAAAAAGCCTGTACTGTCAACCCAATGCTCACTTCCCTTCACTGCTGCTCTCTGCATCTGCTGCACTGCACCCCCCTATTCCACCACCCGCACCCTTCTCCTCCACCCCCCCTTTCTGTCTGCCTGGTCCCAGCCAATCATGTGAGCTGGTGCGAGTGAGTGCTGGGCGGTAGGGTACCTGTGATGTCAACCCAGCGCTCATCTCCCTTAGCTGCTGCTCTCTGCACACCCCTGTACCACCTCCACCACCCCTCTTCTCTCCCCTCTCCCTCCCGGGTCCCGTACCTCGCTCCATATGATCTCTCCACGCTCCGTCTCTCCAGATTCCCCCCCCCCCCCCCCTCCTGCCCACCACTCCCTCTCTCTCCCCTTCTGCTTTTCTCTCCCCTCTCCCTCCCGGGTCCCAGCCTAAGTGGCGAAATACGCGTATAGCGTATATACGCGTGTCGTATATACGCATGCGTTTATACGCTATACGCTAAGGTCCCGAATCCAGGAATACGCTTTTTCGGGCAGGGTAAAAAAAACCCGGGCAGGGTGAAAAAAACACCCTAGGTATAGTTCACAGGGGGGATTCACGGAGGTTGTGTCTCCGGTTCATTTTTTCCCCTATGACGCAAAATGCTTAAAGACTTCGTGCTCAACATCGGGAAGGTACTCCCTAATCTCACGAAGAGGACGTGGCCTTTTGTTATCCTGTGTGAGATCAGATGGTGGGTTAGGAACTGCAGTAGAAATTATTGCGTAGGATACTAGGAGGAGTGAGCGACTTGGTGGAATGGACGGATGGGGGAGGGAACGTGCAGTAGATCTGACGAGAAACGATGTGTTGGAGGGGATGTACTGGAAAGGTTGGAGTTCGTAGATTGGGTTCGGTTCAAAGAGGTGGAACCCTGAAATTCGAAATCGCAACTCCAACCTGAATCCAAACATTTAAGTGACATTCCCGCTACCCTAGATCTCCGATGAGCATTTCGACCACCGCGAAATGATCGCCGTTAAAAACGGCAGATTTCTATATATTCCCGAAAATTTCCACCTTGGGCTGCCCAGAAAAAAAGTCCCGAGCGGAGAGCGTATTTGCTAGCGTATAGCGTTTTGTGTGTATACGCAAGCGGATAAACGCTATACGCTTAAAGGCAAAAGCGTATTTCGTCACTTAGGTCCCAGCCGAGCCTGTGAGCTGGTGCGAGTGAGTGCGAGACATTGGGATACCTGAAATCTCGCCCAGCAATCACCAACCTTCGCTGCTGCTCTCTCAACCAATCCCACCCCCCAATACCCCCCTCCTCTCTCCCCTCGCCCTTCCCGGTCTCAGCCGGGCGTGTGAGCTGGTGCGAGTGAGTGCGGGGCGAGAGGAGACAGCAGGGGGGGTGGCACAGCAGGTGTTGCGAGATCAGGGCGTGGCGCTGGCAGCAGGGGGGAATGCATCGCTGGTGTTCAATGGGGTGGAGGTGAGAGCACTCGTTCCGGTGCAGTGCGATGCAGGTGGGTGGATATGAAGGCAACAGCAGGTGACGGCAGGGGAAGACAGCAGGGGGGGTGGCACAGCAGGTGTTGCGAGATCAGGGCGTGGTGCTGGCAGCAGGGGGAGTTGCATCGCTAGTGTTCAATGGGGTGGAGGTAAGAGCACTCGCTGGGTGAGTGCGGTGCAGTGGGTGGATATGTATGTACTGGGTCATGCGACAAAGAGCATGAATAGATGACTAGCTTGTGGAATCGAATGAGCACATGCCCTCTTGCTTGAACGACCACACCCTCTTCACTACCTGGTGCTGTTCTTTCCTTAGCTTATTCCTCAGTTGAATGACTAATTGCCTCCCTAACTCACTCTTTATTTCTGAACCTCTCTTTACCTTTGTACCAGTTCGCATGACTAGGATTCCATACATGCTGCTCGATCCGGTTTCACACTCTGTCACCACTCTTTGAACCACTTTGAATCACTCCCCACTGCTGTGCACCCTCTCCCTGTCCGCCTTTTGAAGCTGGATAAGCGTTCCACTCTGGATCAGTGCGGCATTTGATGTGCTCCTCTGTTCATCACATCACAACCACTCTCCACCGCTTTGCTCCTCCCTTTCATGCCTGCCGTTTTCGGCTGGATGAGCGTTCCACTCCGGATCAGTGCGGCATTTGATTCGCTCCTGTATTCATCACACCACATTACTCTCAACCACTCTCCACCGCTTTGCACCTGTCTTTTCCTCTGACAGCTGGATGAACGCTCCACTCTGGATCAGTGCGGCATTCGATCCGCTTCAGGGCGAGAGAGGTGAGGGTCGTGGAGGGAGAGTGAGGTGAGAAGGTTGGGAAAGGGGATCACTTGACCCCTTCCCTGCTATAAACCACATGCTTTTCTGCTTGACCCCACCTGTCCTCACCATCATTCAACCATCTTTTGAGTCGACTCAGTCAGCCCTCTCGTCCCCAACCTGGCAATTACCTGCTCTCACTTAGTCTCCCTCCCTTCCACCCTCTGCATCTCCCCCTCCCCTCTCCCATTGCCACCCCTCCCACCCCTCGCGCCTGCCACCACCCCCTCACCAGCTGGGTGCCTCGATTTCTTTTTCCCAATGCGTGGCACATGCAGTCTGTGCCCAGGAAACCGCCAGTCAAGGTATGGCGATAGTAATTACAAGGGTAGGCACTGGTGAAGGTGCTGCAGCGGTGACAGGCAGCAGTTCTTGGATAAAAGCAACCAGGAAGAAATAAGATAAAAACACCAATTATGCGAGCTGATGACAAACAGGGAATGGCCTTTTCCCGCCATGGGAAGTCAGGAAACACGGGTTGCTTGGCAGTCGTTGCGATCTACGAAAAGTCTCCTTCAGGCCATCGTTTAGGACAAACCCTCACTACCACTTAGTCTTTTCCCACCCACTCTCTCACTCTTGGGAATTGGGACCTATTCATTTCTCACATGTGACGGTAGTGGCAAGGCATGGAGCATCACGTCACCACAGCAGCTGCCTTCCTCGCCGCTGTGCCTCCTCTAATTGCCTCACGTCCATCCCCAGTGCCTCACTTCCATCCCCAGTGCCTCACTTCCATCCCCAGTGCCTCACTTCCATCCCCATTGCCTCAAACCCTCCCGCCAGCAGGTAACAGACCCCACATGGCCAGTGGCAAGGCGCGGAGCACCACCGCAACCCCTGTCGTCCTCAGTGCTCTCACTACACCCAATCCCTCCCTGCTTCCTTCCATCCTCATTGCTTTACACACACTCCTGTCGGCAGGTAACAGACCCCACATGGCCAGTGGCAAGGCATGGAGCACCGCCGCAGCCGCTGCCGTCCTCAGTGCTCTCGCTCCTCACTCTGCCGTTTGACTCCGTCCCTGTCTGGGCGCTCTTCCTCTGCCTCTTTGTTGCTGGCCTCTTCGCTGCGCAATGACTGTAGCTATGTGGAAAAAACGGTCCCTTCCTATCTATATTTTTAAAGGTAGGGCTTCGGGTTTAGCACAAATGTAAGAAACACATCCGTTTGATTTGTAAAAGGTGATCAGCATGCCCAAATTTTTAGCTAGTTTGTTGCGAAAGTAACCAGCAAACCATCCTTGCAATTTTAGACGGGGCCCGGCTCCAATTATATTGTTAATATGATAGTTCCATGTACAGCCCCAGTAGCACAGTGGTAGTGCGTTCGCTTCGTAAGCGAAAGGTCCAGAGTTCAATCCTCTGCTGAGGCACAGGTTGTACTGGTTTTATCCATGCCCCCTTACGGCCAAGGTGTTTTTGTTATGAGTTGTAATTATATCAATCCGGATACATGACCTGGGGGACTTTCCAAAAATTCATTAAAATTTGCTATGCTCTCACCCTCCTCTCAGCACCCCCAGTGTAAGGAAAAATCCTTTTCCTTATCAGGGTTGGCTGCTTCGCGTACGCCCAAAATTGGTTTTGGCCCACCCTGTCTAATCAGTGTTCCACGGTGGGCCAACCCTGACTCCTTGGAGAAAAAAATCTCGTAAACTGTCAAATTGCATTTGTTATCTCTAGGCTGTATTGGGGCATACTCTAAGGAGTACAACACTTTAGGATTGCATCCTAGTACTTGTACTCATCCTTGCATTCTAGTCAATCATTCCTACGTACTAGTATTTCTAACATGGTATTCAGAGCGGGTCCATCCTCCGTAGGACCGCTCCATTAGGGCCCACCGCTAGTTTAGACTTGCCCGAACTGCCCGCACTGCCCTGCCCAAACAGCGTTCCTCACGCTGCCCTGCCTGCGCTGCCCCATGCGCGCTGCCCTACCCTGCAGCCCGCGCGCCGCCCTGCCCTGCAGCCCGCGAGCTGCCCTGCCCTGCTGCCAGCACGCCCTGCAGCCCGCGCGCCGCCCTGCCCTGTGGCCCGCGCGCCGCCCTGCCCTGCGGCCCGCGCGCCGCCCTGCCCTGCAGCCCGCACGCCGCCCTGCCCTGCAACCCACGCGCCACCCTGCCCTGTAGCTCGCGAGCTGCCCTGCCCTGCTGCCAGCATGCCCTGCAGCCCGTGCGCCGCCCTGCCCTGCAGCCCGCGCGCTGCCCTGCCCTGTGGCCTGCGCGCCGCCCTGCCCTGCAGCCCGCGCGCTGCCCTGCCCGGCTGCCTGCATGCCCTGCAGCCCTTGCGCTGCCCTGCTCACGCAGCCCTGCAGCCCGCACACTGCCCTGCCCTGCAGCCCGTGCGCTGCCCTGCCACTACAGCGACTACCGCTACTACTACAGCTACTGCTACAACTACAGCTACTGCTACAGCTGCAGCCACAGCAGTCGCTTCTGACGCCCTTGCGCCGCTGCTACTGGCTGCCACTACCTATCATGGCCACTATCACGGTCGTAGCAACGGCTGGCGGTGGACAGCAGCAGCAGCGACAGCCGGAGACTCTATCATTGCAGCAGCTTCGCGAGTGGGTTATTCGGCGAGGGCGTCCTGGTGGTGGATGTTATGGTGCTGGAGGTACTGGACAGCAGCGTCAGTCTCGTCGCCAGGAGACTCTCTCGCCACAGCAGCTTCGTGAGTGGGTTATTCAGCGAGGCCGTCCTAGTGGTGGAGGTTATGGTGCTGGAGGTACTAGACAGCAGCGGTAGCCGCGTCAGCAGGTAGTGCAGAGGCTACTAGTCTAGGTGCCTGTGAGCCTGGTAGCACAGGTGCAGCTTCTGTGGAGGCTTTGCACACCTTCACGCTTGACTCAGGCGCGACTCGCTGCTACTTCCGCGACTGCACCACAGTCACACCACTCACTACACCTGTCCCGGTCTCTCTGGCTGACCCCCTATGGGGGCCTAGTCGTAGCACGTGCCTCCACCGTTCTCCCGTGTCCGTCAGCCCCCTCAGGCTCCCTCACAGGTTTCCACCTCCCCTCGTTCTCTAAGAACTTGGTGAGTAACGCTGTCCTCCAGGACCAGTTTGTCACTGTGACTACTCCTGGGGTTGAGCTTGTGGCGATCTGTACGGACTCACGCAATGGCGAGCACCTCGCCACTTTCACTCGGAGTCGTGGGTTTGTCCTGTACATACTGACCACTGAGTCTGCACAGGTAGCTGCGTCGGATCAGTTCGCTGCGTCTTGTTCGTGTCAGCTGCTCACGCACCAGACTCTCCTCTGGCAACACCATCTTGGTCACCCCTCCCTGCCGTGCCTGCGTGGCATGCACTCTCGCCTCCCCGGGTCCCTGCCCCCGCTCTCGCGCTCGCTTGCATCCCCATGCCTTCCCTCCGTCTTGGGGCGGCAGCGTGCCGCTCCTCACTCCTCCTCGTTTCCGCCGACCATTGCTCCTCTATAGACTCTCCACATGGACGTGTGGGACCCAGCCCGCGTCCGTGGACAGGACCAGGAGAGCTACTTCCTCCTGGTTGTTGACGACTACACGCGCTACACCACGGTCTTCCCCTTGCGGAGCAAGGCGGATGTCACCGGTGTTTCCTGGATCACTACTCTTTGTCGCCAGCTGAGAGAGCGGTTTCAGGAGGACCTCCAGGTCCTGCGACTGCACTCAGGCAGAGGCGGTGAGTTTTCCTCCCGCCTCCTTGAGGGTTTTTGTCGTACGGAGGGCATTGCCCAGTCGTTCACGCTTCTGGCCTCTCCGCAGTAGAATGGGATTGCTGAGCGTCACATTGGCTTGGTCATAGAGGTTGCTAGCACCTCCCTGATCCATGCGGCTGCTCCCCATTTTCTGTGGTCGTTTGCGGTCCGATACGCCGCGCATCAGCTCAACCTTTGGCCCCATGTCTCTATGCCAGAGACCTCGCCTACACTGCTTTGGACGGGGGAGGTTCGCGATGCGTTGGCGTTTCGGGTCTGGGGTGCGCTCTCCCTTGTCTGCGATACCACCGTGGGCAAGCTCTCTCCTCGCACTCTCCGTTGCGTCTTCCTTGGCTTCCCCACCGACGCCCCGCCCTCGCAGTTTTACCACCCTGCCTCGCGCCGCGTCCTGTCCTCACAGGACGTCACCTTTGATGAGTCGGTCTGCTTCTACCGTCTCTACCTGCACGTGTCCTCCCCACTCTCCCCGCCGCCCCTCTTCCTGGTCACAGGTCCCCCCCCAGGTAGACCCTCTCCCCCCACAGGGTCCTGCTCCCTCAGGTGTGTCTCAGGTTGACCCACCCCCCTTGGTTGAGCCTTTGGAGGCCTCCTCTGACACCTCTGGCCCGGCTAAGGGTGGTGACCCCGTTGGTGACGACATGGCGGCGACTCGCCGCTCCCCGCGCTTGGAGACCCCTCCTGGCTTTCCGCCTCAGCCGTCTTCGCCGCCTCCGCAACTTGTAGCTGTGGACTAGGTGGTGACACTGGGGGTGCGGACTCTAGAGGTGCTGGTCTTGAGGTTGCTGACTCTAGGGGTGCTGAGTCTAGGGGTGCTGGTTCTGGGGGTGCTGACACTGGGGGTGTTGCGAGTCCTAGTGGTGGTGGAGACGTGGGTGTTCCTATTGGGGGTTCTAGCATTGGACAACAGCAGCTGTCTCGTCGATAGGAGACCCTCTCGCCGCAGCAGCTTCGCGACTGGGTTGTTCGGCGGGGCCGGGTTCCTAGAGCTTAGAGTACTGGTGCTAGAGGTGGTAGAGCTGGAGGTACTGGAGATACTGGAGCTGTTGGTGCTGGAGCTGCTGGTACTGGAGGTGCTAGAGCTGGAGGTGCTGAAGGTGGTGGAGGTGCTGGTACTGGAGGTGCTAGAGCTGGAGGTGCTGGAGGTACTAGAGCTGCTGGTGCTGGAGGTGCAGGAGCTGCTGGTGATGGAGGTACTGTAGCTGCTGGTGCTGGAGGTACTGGAGCTGCTGGTGCTGGAGGTGCTAGAGCTGGAGGTGCTGGAGGTACTAGAGCTGCTGGTGATGGAGGTACTGGAGCTGCTGGCGCTGGAGGTGCTGGAGTTGGAGGTACTGGAGGTGCTGGAGCTGGAGGTACTGGAGATTCTGGAGCTGGTGGTACCGGAGGTACTGGAGGTGTTGGAGCTGGAGGTGCTGGAGCTGCTGTCGGTACGGGTACTGCACCGTGCCGACTGTTTTTCTACCCGCAGTCGCAGTCGTCCCTTCCACCGCCTGACTCGGCACTTCGTCAGGTTCTTAGTCTTCCGTCTCCCACTGGCCTTACTCCGACTCTACTGTGTCCTCCGCTTGACCAGTCACAGCCGCAATTACTGCATGGCTCTCCACTGCCTGGTCCTTCTCCCTACCCTGCGCAAAAAATCTCCCTGGCAGAGCGTCGTGAGCCTGAGTCTCGTTCTGCCTCCCCTAATCGCACTGTCAGTCGTGATCGTCGTTCTCGTCCTCCACCTGTCCCCGGCACGCACTCTATGGCACTTTGTCCTTCCTCTGTTCCACAGCGTATTGCTCTGCCGTCTCCTCCGACGTCCTCTCTTCCTGACGTTCCTGACCCTGAGTCCGACCTTGCTCGTGCTGCTAGTCTTACTGTCACTCGTCTCCTCGCCACTGTTGTCACTGACCCTTCCTTTGAGTCTACTGCTGCGTTTGCCCTAGTCACTGAGCTAGTCGACTTTGCTGCTACCCGTCGTCTCGACTACGTCGCGAGTCTTGTTAGTGAGTCTGAGTCTGTATGTCCTCCGTCCGTCGAGGGTGTGAGCTTGCCCTTGGCTGTGACTTCCTTGAGGACAGTTTGGAGCATGTGGAGCTGCCTTTTGAGCTGAGCAGCAGCAGCACCACCACAAGGCAATCTTCCCTTGTGAATGGGGGAGAGGAGGCCAAGGATGCAGAGGAAGAAGAGGAAGAGGTGCAGCAAGTGAGCAAGCGTGCACCAACACTTCCTTCTCGCACTACGAGTGCTCCACGGATCCAAGTCTCCTAGTAGCAACGCCAAGGCCTTCATGTCCCTGCAGCTGAGGAGGAAGAAAGGGGCAAGAGAAGTGTTCAAGCCCCTAATAGGCTGACCTATGATGCACCGGGAAAGCAGTTAAAGTCAGCTCTGGCCGGAGCGGCAATGATTGTCGGAGATGATGAGAAAAGTGAGTACGAGGAATGTGCGTTCGTGTTCTTCTCTCCGGTGGAGATGCCGGGAGAACCGGCAACTCTCAAGGAGGCCTTGGAGAGTAGTGATGCTGAGGAGTGGAAGAAGGCCATGGAGAGCAAGCTGAAGAGTATTGAGGAGAATGACACATGGGAATTGGTGGACCTACCGGAGGGACGTAAGGCGATAACGTCCAAGTGGCTCTTCAAAATCAAGTCCGACGCCGACGGCAAGATCGAGTGCTACAAGTTTAGGCTTGTAGCCAAGGGGTACCAGCAGAAGGAGAAGGTGGACTTCAAGGAGCTGTTTGCTCCTATGGTGAAGCCGACGACGCTGCGGACCCTACTCGCGGGGGCTGCCATCAAAGGATGGGTGGTGAAACAAATGGATGTGACAACCGCGTTCCTCAACGGCATTCTCGAAGAGAATATTTTCATGGCGCAGCCAGAGGGGTTTGATGATGGTAGTGGCAGAGTTTTGAAGCTGAAGAAGGCCCTCTACGGGCTGAAGCAAGGCCCTAGAAGCTTTGGAGGAGATCGGCTTCACTCCCTCAACGGCCGATCACTCCTTGTTCATGCTTAGCGAGGGGGAGCAGAGGAGCTTCATGATGGTCTATGTGGATGACATCCTCATCTTTTCACCCTCCTCAGACCTTGTGAACGAGGTGATGCTGAAGCTTCAGGACAAATTCTAGTGCAAGGCACTTGGCGACATGAACTTCTACCTCGGGCTCCACATCGAACGCGACGTGGAGAAGCGGTCGATGCGAGTGCATCAACGAAAGTACCTGGAGGCGTTGGTTGCCAACTTTGGGCAGAGTGAAGGCCATGTGGCTACTCCGTTCCCTTTTGGGTTCAAGTGTGTGAAGGGACCAGAGGAGGAGAGCGTGGGCGAAGAAGAGAGGCGCCGATTTCACTCGTTGGTGGGCAGCCTCATGTACGTGGCAGTCAACACACAACCGGACGTTGCCTTCACTACTGGGCAGTTAGCTAGGATTCTGCAATGCCCTAATGAGGAGCAGGTAGCAGCTGGAAAGAGGGTGGCCAAGTATCTTAGGCAAACACCGACCGTTGGGCTGCAATACTCGGCGGCGGCGCAAAGGCGCCAAAAGGGCGCGGATGGTGTTGAACACGGGCGTTTGTTCCTCACCGCATTCTCGGATGCTTCTTATGCATCGGAACCAGAGGACATGACAAGTGTTGGAGGGTTCATTTGTTGTGTTGGTGGAGGCCCAACTGCTTGGGAGAGCAAGAAGCAGGTGGACTAAGCATTGAGCTCGGTGGAGTTCGTGTACATGGCACTCTTCCGTGCCGTACGGGAGATTGTGTGGCAGCAGCGTTTGTTGGCTGAATTGGGGGAGGAGCAGCAAGGACATACCCCACTCTACTGTGACAGCCAGGGTGCCATCGCTCTTGCTAAGAACCCTGTGTTGCATGGCCTCACGAAGCACATGAGGGTGAAATGGCATTGGACGAGGAGCATGGTGGCCGCGGGTGAAGTTGAGTTGCGCTACGTGAAGACGACGGGGCAGCCGGCAGACATGATGACCAGGAGGCTGGTAGAGCAGCAGCATTGGAAGTGTTGCAAGCTGGCTGGAATGGCTCTGAACTGAGAGCAACAGATCCTAAGGCCAACAATCCAAGGGGGAGTTTGTTGGTGCAACCCTACGGTTTGCACTCGGCTTGTTGTCCGTGTGCGTGCATGCGTTTGTGCATGGAATGGTATGAGGACATGAGATAATATATATTTCATGCTTATAATGGTGTGCGAATGATGAGTCATGATGTCGAATGTGTGTGTGTCGAGTCGATAGCGAGTCATCGCTAGTCGCGTGTCACGTCGTTGTTTGTGTGTCTCGCGCGGTTTTTAATTCGTCGTTTGTGTGTCTCGCGCGGTTTTTGTTTTGTCGTCTGTCGAACGTTTGGCGTGTCGCAGGTGTGTGCAGCAGACCCATCAAGAACTCAAGGATGAGTTTATGATGAAGAACCAAAGCCTTGGTTTCAAGATTCAAGTGTTCGCGACACCCGCGAAAAGGGTACACTTCAAGATATTGAGAATTATTACATTACTTTGTGTAGTGTAACATTTGTCTTTGTATAGGCCCTTGTGGAGGGTAGTTTCGAGACCCTTCTTAGTTGGGGACAGTGTGGCACTATTCCACATCACTGTACCTTGGCTCTTGGGGTTTGTAGATGCTGGGAGTCATTCACATCTCGTAACTCTTCCTAATTTGTGTTCTAAGACTATTGTGGCTGCCATAGTGCCGTTTGTTCAAACCAACGTCGTGTCGTCAATTCTTAATGAAATCGTGCGATCAAAATTGCTTATTGTAGGCGACGTTAAGACGCTCTGGATCCAATTTGAATCAGATCATTTGGAGCTATGACCAAATCGCTATGAACGTTTAGAGCCGCTGTGCAAAAATCCGACTGTGCACTCTAACTTTCGTTTTAGGCACATTTGAGCCTATTGTGACTATAACAAGTTGGAATTGAAGGAGTTTTTTGCCCCTGTAGTGAAGCCCACAACGCGGCGGACCCTACTCGTAGGGGCTGCCATCAAAGGATGGGCGGTGAAACAAATGGACGTGACAACAGCATTCCTCAATGGAGTCCTTAAAGAATAAATTTTCATTGTGCAGACAGAGGGGTTTGATGATGGTAGTGGTAGAGTATGGAAGCTGAATAAGGCACTCTATATGCTCAAGCAAGCCCCTAGGCAATGTTATTTGTGTCGAGATAGATAGCTTAGTAGGAAGGAATGAGTCGGATTAGGGCAAGGAGGAGGGATACAATGAAGTGTCGAGCAATTTACTGTACCCCCCAAGATCCCGCCACCCCCATACCCCCCAAGATCCCGCCACCCCCATTACCCCCCCCCCCCCCCACTGCTGCACCCACAGCAGGGGGATGGAGGAGAAGGGGGGGGGGGGGGTGGAGGGGGGTGCGAGGGGCACTCACGAGGGGGTGCAAGGGGCACTCACGAGGGGGTGCGGGGGGCACCCACGAGGGGGTGCAAGGGGCACTCATGAGGGATTGCAAGGGGCACTCACGAGGGGGTGCAAGGGGCACTCATGAGGGGGTGTGAGGGGCACCCACGAGGGCGGTGCGAGGGGCACTCACGAGGGGGTGCAAGGGGCACTCACGAGGGGGTGCGAGGGGCACCCACGAGGGGGGTGCGAGGGGCACTCACGAGGGGGGTGCGAGGGGAACTCACGAGGGGGTGCAAGGGGCACCCACGAGGGGGTGCAAGGGGCACTCACGAGGGGGTGCAAGGGGCACCCACGAGGGGGTGCAAGGGGCACCCACGAGGGGGTGCGAGGGGCACTCACGAGGGGGTGCAAGAGGCACTCACGAGGGGGTGCGAGGGGCACCCACGAGGGGGTGCAAGGGGCACTCACGAGGGGGTGCAAGGGGCACTCACGAGGGGGTGCGAGGGGCACCCACGAGGGGGTGCAAGAGGCACTCACGAGGGGGTGGAAGGGGCACTCACGAGGGGGTGCGAGGGGCACCCACGAGGGGGTGCGAGGGGCACTCACGAGGGGGTGCAAGGGGCACTCACGAGGGGGTGCGAGGGGCACCCACGAGGGGGTGCGAGGGGCACTCACGAGGGGGTGCGAGGGGCACTCACGAGGGGGTGCGAGGGGCACTCACGAGGGGGTGCAAGAGGCACTCACGAGGGGGTGCGAGGGGCACCCACGAGGGGGTGCGAGGGGCACTCACGAGGGGGTGCAAGGGGCACTCACGAGGGGGTGCGAGGGGCACCCATGAGGGGGAGCGAGGGGCACTCACGAGGGGGTGCAAGAGGCACTCACGAGGGGGTGCGAGGGGCACTCACGAGGGGGGTGCAAGGGGCACTGCAGCAGGGGGATGGAGGAGAAGGGGGGGGGGGGGGGGGGGGGGGGGGGGGGGGGGGGGGGGGGGGGGGAGGGGGGGGGGGGGCGGTGTAGAAGCTGCTCGGGCAACAGCAGGGCGCGCGACGGGCAGGAACCCGACATTCGCCACCCCCGCCACCCCCATACCCTCCCCCCCCCTGCTGTACGATCAGCAGGGGGACGGAGGAGAAGGGGAGAGGGGGGGGGGGGGGGGCAGGGGGGGGCGGTGCAGGGGCTGCGTGGGCGACCGCAGGTCGCACGAAAAACATCCGCCACCCCCTCACACCCTCTCCCCCACTCCCCCCACAGCAGCAGCCACAGCTGTGAGAGGGGAGGAGGCGTGGCAGCAGCTGCTGCTGCTGAGGCACATCCGCCACCCCCTCACACCCTCTCCCCGCAGCAGCAGACGCGGTCGTGAGAGAGGAGGAGGCGTGGCGGCAGCTGATGCTGCTGAGGCACATCCGCCACCCCCTCACACTCTCTCCCCCCTTCCTTATGGGGGGGGGGGGGGGGGGGGGGGGGGGAGGGGGGGGAGGGGGGCGGGGGCGAGGAATGAGCTGCGCGTGCGACTGCAGGGCGCGCAAGCAGGAGCGTGCGACGGGTAGAAACCGACGGGCTAGGGGCCGGGGCCTAGGGGCGTCGAGCGACGGGGCCGGGCCTAGGAGAGCGACGGGCGACGGGGCCGACGGGCCTAGGGGCGTTGGGCGACGGGCCGGGCCTAGGGGAGACGGGCCGTGGCGACAGGCCTAGGGGCGACGGGCCGGGGCGACGGGCCGAGGGGCAACGGGCGACTGGCCGGGGCCGGGGCCTAGGGGCTTCGGGCGCGAGCGACGGGCGACGGGGCCAGGGCCTAGGGGCGATGGGCCGGCCTAGGGGCGACGGGCCTAGGGGCGACGGGCCGTGGCGACGGGCCGTGGCGACAGGCCTAGGGGCGACGGGCCGGGGCCGAGAGCTAGGGGCGACGGGCGCGGGGCGATGGGCCGGGGCGACGGGCTGTGGGGCAACGGGCGACGGGCCGTGCCGAACGTCGAGAGTAGGGCCGCACGAGGGCGGCGCGCAGGGCAGCAGGTGGTGGGCCCAAGGGTCGTAACTACTCTAATACCATGTCGAGATAGGTAGCTTAGTAGGAAGGAATGAGTTGGATTAGGGCAAGGAGGGGGGATACAATGAAGTGTCGAGCAATTTACTGTACCCCCTAAGGCTAAACCCACTACAGCCTAGATAGCAGTAAACTTATAATTTGACAATTTGAAGCTGTGCGAAGTCGTGGGGGAGATCGGCTTCACTCCATCGACCGCCGATCATTCCTTGTGCGTGCTTGGCGAGGGGGAGTAGAGGAGTTTCATGGTGGTTTATGTAGATGACATCCTCATATTCTCACCCTCTTCTAACCTTGTGAAGGAGGTGATGCAGAAGCTTCAAGGCAGGTTTAAGTGCAAGGCCCTTGGTGACGTCAATTTCTACCTCGGGCTTCACATTGAACGCGACACGAAGAAGCGGTGGATGCGAGTGCATCAACGGAAGAATCTTGTGGCTTTGGCTGCCAACTTTGGGGAGAGTGAAGGCCATGTGGCTATTCTCTTTCCTTTTGGGTTCAAGCATATGAAGGGACCAGAGGAGGAAAGCGTTGGCGAGGAGGAAAGGAGTCGTTTTCACTCTTGGTGAGCAGCCTTATGTATGCGGCAATAAATACTCGACTGGGCGTCGCCTTTGCTACCGGGCAGCAGGCTAGGATTGTTCAATGCCGTAAGAGGAGCAGGTTGCAGTTGGGATGAGGGTGGCCAAGTATCTTGGCCAAACACCGACCGCTGGGCTACAATACTCAGCGGCGGGGCAAAGGTGCCAAAAGGGCGCTGATGGTGTTGAACCCTCACCGCATTCTCGAATGCTTCTTATGCATCAGATACAGAGGACATGACAAGTATGGGAGGCTTCATTTGCTGTGTTGGTGGAGGCCCAACTGCTTGGGAGGGCAAGAAGCAATTTGACCAAGCTTTGAGCTCGGTCGAATCCGAGTACATGGCACTCTTCTGTGCCGTATGGGAAATTGTGTGGCAGTGGCGTTTGTTGGTTGAGGTGGGGGAGCAGCAAGGACCTACCCTACTCTATTTTGACAGCCAGGGTGCCATTGCACTTGCTAAGAACCATGTGTTGCACAGCCTCACCAAGCACATGAGGGTGAAATGGCATTGGACGAGGAGCATGGTGGCTGCGGGTGAAGTTGAGTTGCACTACGTGAAGACGACAGCGCAGCCAGCTGACATGATGACCAAGAGGCTGGCGGAACACCAGCATTGGAAGTCGTTCAAGCTAGCTGGAATTGCTATGAACTGAGAGGAGCAGATCCTGAGGCCTCGTGAAGGAAGTTTGTTGGTGCAATCCTATGGTTTTCACTCAGCTTGTTATCCTTGTGCGTGCATGTGTGCATGGAATGGTATGAATGCATGCAATCAAATATATATATTTTCATGCTTATAATAGTATGTGAATGACGAGTCATGATGTCGAATATGTGTGTCGGGTCAATAGTGAGTTATTGCTAGTCGTGTCACGTTGTTGTTTGTGTGTCGTATGCGTTTTCTATTTTGTCATGTGTCGAACGTTCGGCGTGTCGCTGGTGCGTGCAGCAGACTTTCAAGAACTCAACGATGAGTTTATGGTAAAGAACCAGAGCCTTGGTTTGCAAGATTCAAGTGATTTCGAAGCTCGCCAAAAAGGTAAACTTCAAGATAGTGAGAATAGTTGCATTACAATGTGTAGAGTAACATTTCTCTTGGTGTAGGCCCTTGTGGGGGGTATTTTCGAGACCCTTTTATGGTCTTAGAACACAAATTATGGCACTATTACACATTAATGTTCCTTGGCTCTTGAGGTTTGTAAAGGCTGGGAGTCATTCCCAACTCGTAACTCTTTCTAATTTGTGTTCTAAGACCATAGTGGCTGCCATAGTGCCGTTCGTTCAAACTAAAGTTGCGTCATCATTCCTTAATAAAAATCAGAATGCTGTAATTCAAAATTGCCCAGATCCAATTTATAGCATGTCATTTGGAGCTGTAATCAGAATGCTTGTCATCAACGTTTGAAGTTGCTGTGCAGAAATCTGTATGTGCACTCTATCTTTTGTTGTAGGCACATTTGAGCCTATTATGACTATAACAGATCGCCCCATTGAAGCCCGCACGTGGCTGACATTTCCTCGTGGCTGCATGTCAACGAAGGCCTCCCGCATTCCCCACAGGTGATAGGAGCAGCTGCTGTCTAGCAACACCACCTTTGGGTTTGCCTGCACAGTCATCGCTGGCCTCTAGCACTAGCGAGATTCTCGGCTCCACCACGCCGACCATCGAGCACGAGGCCTGTTTGTCACCACGTATATTGCCGCTGGATGAGTCGGCGTCCATCGACGACGATGTCGGCTTCGATGCCTGCTTCTCCGAGCGCGGCTTGTTGTCCCGACATTGACGACCGCCGTCGGACCTCCCGTGGCCTCCCTTGTGGCCGTCGTCGTCGGACTCCTCTCGGTCAGGGCAGTAGTAGGAGAGGTGGTCGGGGTCGCCACAGACTCAGCACTCAAGCTTGACGTTGACCGCCTCCACCGCAGTCGTTGTCCTGATTCGACTTCGTTCGGTCGGCGTCCTGCGCCGACTTCCCACCTCCGCTGCCACTTCCGCCCGACTTCCCACGCTGCCCTTGCTGGCGTCGTTGCTTCGCCGGGCCAGCACAGTTCGCCTGCGGAAGGATATCCGTGGGTCTCTTAGACTTATGCATGAACTCGTCATTGATGGTGTGGCTCGTCAACGAATCATCGTTGAACGAATCACGCACGCCAGGCATCGCCTGTTGGAGTAGGCTAGAGCTCGCTCTGGCTTTTATCATGGTGTTCTTTTGTTACTTTGCCATGTTTAGAATGAGTTACATTTTCGGTTCAGTTTAGGTTCATTTCTTTAGTTTCTAGCATAAACTGAACATGCCCTATGTTCAATTAGGGTTTCCTATAATTGTATCTCGACTCTTTGTTTGTGCAACTTTTTCTCTTGTCAAGTTTCTTCTAGGCAATCATGGCTCTCCTAAAGCCACCTTTAAAATGGTATCTAGAGCCTAATCCTTGGCGTTTTGTACTTATTTATCTCTTAGTGTGGTCTAGGCCTTAGGCATCCAGCGCCCTAACCTTTACCTAGCTAAAATGTTTGTTCTCTGTCCTCTCAAACTTCAAAATTTAGAATCCCTCAAATTTCGTGATCCCTCTTTACCCATCACCCGCAGCTTATCCGCCTCGTCGCGCGCCCCGTCCCCTCACCGCGTGCCCCATCCCGTCGTCGTACGCCCCCTGCTCACCTCGTCGCGCGCTTCCTGCCCCGCCTTGTCGCTCGCCCTGCTCGTCATCAGTGCGCGTGCGTGCTGCCCATCGACGGAGCGCGCGCCCTGCCCCCCGTCGTCGTGCATGCGCGCCTTGCCCACGGCCGTCGCCTTCGCCTCTGCCCAGCCTCACCTCCTCGCGGCCGCCCTCCCTTACCTTCTCGCAGGTGCCTTGCTTCACCCTCTCGCAGGCGCCCTCTCCTCCCCTCGTGGTGCGCCTCCTTCTCCCTCGTTCTCGCCACCTCCGCCTTCTCCGCCCTCCCCATCCGTCTCTTCACCCTCCTCCTCCTCTCTTCTATCCTCCCTACGCTTCGTGCCTCTCATCCCTTCCTCCACCTCCTTCCCCTCCGCATCTGCTGCAGCTGGCTGTTGGTTGCCGGTTGCAAATTGGTGGCAGTGCTCCTTCCTTCCCCCCCCCCTCCTTATTCCTCCTCCTCTTGTGTCTCCCCTCGGCAATGCAGCTAACTCCTTTCCCCCTATCCCCCCTCCTCTTGTGTCTCTTCTCAACTGCCGCAGCTGGATTGCTTCATAGCCTTGCCCTTGAGACCTACCCCTCCACTCCACTCACCCCTTCACCCTCCTCCTCCTCTCTTCTCTCCCTTCATCCCCTCCCCATCTCACTCTCTCCTCCACCTCTATCCTCTCCTCACCTGTCGCAGCTGGTTGCTCACCTTACTTTGTAGCTATGCTCCTTCCCCACTCTATTCCTCTGCCTCTTGATTCTCCCCTCAGCATCTCAGCAGCAGACTACTCCGCCCATATTCCTCCGCCTCTTGTTTCTCCCCTCAGCTGCTCAGCAGCAGACTACTCCGCCCATATTCCTCTGCCTCTTGTTTCTCCCCTCAGTTGCTCAGCAGCAGACTACTCCGGCCATATTCCTCCGCCTCTTGTTTCTCCCCTCAGCTGCTCAGCAGCAGACTACTCCGGCCATATTCCTCCGCCTCTTGTTTCTCCCCTCAGCTGCTCAGCAGCAGACTACTCCGGCCATATTCCTCCGCCTCTTGTTTCTCCCCTCAGCTGCTCAGGAGCAGACTACTCCGCCGCTATCCCTCCTCCTCTTTTGTTTCCCCTCATCCGGTCCACTCCCCCCCCCCCCCCCCCCCGCCCCCACCCCGGCCCCCCTTATGGCGCCCGTTCTTGCCCTTCCCTCTCTTCCACTACGCTACTGCCTTCCTCCTCCTATTACTCCACCTCCTCTCTGACCCCTCCCCTCCCTGCCCTCCGTTGCATCCGTTGTCCCCTTTCCCCC